TAAGTATTGCTTTCAAATCAGAGTTTTATTAATAGTGATAGTTTTTAGGCATTTCTGTTTCACAGTATACCATTAACCAAATTGTGAACTTACACTGGGAGTCACATCCATAGGCAGCACCCCTTAGCCATAAGATCATGCCATCTGACCATGAGAGACAGGCAGAAGTACTCAGTGTTTCAGGGAACTTCAGTGAGATGGCTTTGTCTGTAGCCGAATAAAGGTGCTTTGAATCAGGAGGTTTATTAGCTGCTTGGTTTTAGGTATACTACTTTGTTTAGCTTTTTATATGTGTAACTGTAGTTTGAATATAAGATGATACTTCTAATGTTTTTGTTTTTCCAGCATTGGATTAAATTGTGCTCTGGGTGCAGCTGAAATGAGACCTTTTATTGAAACAATTGGAAAATACACAACAGCCTATGTCCTCTGTTACCCCAATGCAGGTGTGTGTTTCAAAGACATCACATGTGAGGAAATCCAAGTACTCAAGACATCGGTTGGTAGGGTGATGGACCTTGATTGATTAAAAGAGTTTTCTTTGCAGTCCTTGGTACACATTTATTACTCAATAGGAATTTTCAAAGTGAAGAGTATTTAGGTCTGGACCACTCTTTCCCTCTAGACTTGAAGGAACAGTTTGACTCAACCTGAAGGTTTCCGAATTGGATGAAACTTCAGGGAATGAAGCCTAGTCATGTAACTGATCATGGTCGCAATATTCACTTTGTGAATATGACCAAAGAGGATGAGTAAAGGAAGGGTTAGGGAGGCCTCTTTTCTGCTCCACTATATTAACAAGAGAGAAAATAAGGAACCTGTATGTTTTTACTCTTTTCCTTTCTAAAAGTTAGGATTTCTAGTTTACTGTATATAAAAATTCCTAAGATATTTATAGACAGCTCTCAAACTATCCAGCTAAACATTGGTAATCCATCTGGGTTAACCAGATTTCCTGGTGAAAGTGTTTGAGCACTGCTTAGCTACTTAGGGCTAAAAATCATTTTCTAATCTTTCTCCAAATACATATATTTTAATGTGCAGTAAGTTATTTTGTATCAGGAGTAAGATAACTGGAAGGGGATAATAAATAAAGCAGGAAATTAGATAAAAAGATGTAAAAGTCTTACTTGGGAAAATTTATTTGAGAAGAGACTCAGTTGTGTTTTGCTTCTTTGTTTTTAACTCATATGAGGTTGTCATTAGTTCAAAAGATATGTAGTACTCCCCCAGCCCCACCCCAAAGCAGCTAGTAACAAGACTGAATTTCCTTTAGGGGAAGAGGGTGAAGATAGGGGCAGTCTGTCCCATGCAGTACTGACTGTTTTCTTTCAAATGGAAAAGAAATAGTGAATGTTTATTTTCCTTTCTGATTTTTTTTTTTTTTTTGGTGTGGCATCTCTATTTAAATGTTTAATATTAAGAATTACCTTTTTTTTTTTTTTGCCAGAAGTCACCATTTAAGTATAAGTACAAAATTATCTAACTTTTAAAACTGAAGCCTTTACAAATACTGGGTCTATATTGAAGGTTGTTTCCAATAATGGTTGAATTATACTTTCTTAGGTCTGCCGAATACCTTTGGGGACTATGATGAAACTCCACACATGATGGCCACACACCTAAAGGTCAAGAATCCTCTTTTACTTGTTTTTTAAGAAATAGAGAAATGGAGTCTTAGAGTTAGAATATTTAGAATCAGAAATCCCAGTGTGTATGTTAGGGAATGTTGTGTATATTCCTCAGTTCTTGTCCCCGCTGCAACAAATAATTGAAGGGCAGAGACACAGTAATTGTTGGGGCGAGGTCGGTTCAAAGACACAGGGAAGTCAGAGTACAGGGTGAGGAAGTCAGACAGGGACACTGGGTATAGTCAGAGTAGGGTGAGGGCCTCCAGGAAAAGCAGGGTGGAATATTTACAGTCAGAGCAATGTAACAATGGGCAAAGAAGTTCCTATTGAAACTCTGTAAAGCATTATGCAAAGTCAAGGTCACACTAATTCTCTAGGGAAAGATACCTAAGAATATAGACATCTTCAGTGAGATCAGTTAAAGGTCAAAAGGCCAGAAGCAACTTGGCCTGGAATGTTTGAGTGTTTTGCAAGGGTATCAGCATAACCCGTGACTCCACTGTAAGCCCTAGCAATCAGACTACGACCCAGCCCACCTGGAGGACAGGACAAGTGATGCAAGACCACACCCCTAAGTTTTTTTCATGTTCTTGAAAAATCCTCAACTGCCTATAAAACCCCCTAGACAATGCACCACTATGGGCTCTCTTGTCCCCTCCTGGTGTGAGCCAGGAGCTCTATTCTCTCACTTTATTTCTAAATAAAAACCTGTACCTTGCTCTCCTACCTTGAGTGTTTGTGAAGCTCATTCTTGGGCTTCATGAACAAGAACTCTGGCATCAGAAGGGATTTATTAAAGTGAGTGTCAGGGAATGACAGAACAGAGTGATAAAGGGAATTCATTGAACTGCTACTCAGCATGGGGCACATCCCCAGCTAACTCCTGGCGTCCAGTGTCTGCTTGGATCTGCACGGCTTGGGAATTGAATCTCTACCACCTTGGGATTTGGGGGAGCTGCAGAGCACTGGTTAGAGTGAGATTATTCTGTGAACTTCCTAGAGGCAAAGGAGACTTTCAGGCAGGCTACTAAAGAGCATGATTGTACAGCTGCAGTTCCAGCAGGGTCACCCAGTTGATGGTAATCTGCAATGCCAGATCTGTGCTCTCAGCAGCCCCTCCCTACTTACCTGAAATAGGAGAGAGAGAGTGTGGTTTTGAGCTAAAATTGGGAGGATTAGAATGAAAAAGCAAAGTAACAAAGACACTTACCACTGGAAAGGCGCAGAGACAAAATGTTGTAAGTTGAGCAGTGGGAAGTTTAGAGCAAAAATGTGTGCACTTGGTGAAAGGGTAGTGTGGGATACCTCAGAGAAGAGGCACCCCTAAGGGTTTAAGGTCTGGGGTTTTATAGGCGTTTGAGGATTTCCAAAGTGCTAGGGGTATGATGGACTTGTTGTTAAGTGGTCCCAGAATGTTCATCTTTGATGAATCATTAAGTCTCTTTTCTTATTAGTCCTCTAGGTAATTCTGCAAAATTAACATAATAAATTTACTGCTGATTTCTTCCAACAACAGCAGCTTCCTGGTCTGGGGCATATCAATTAAGACCACCTGCCCTGCTCCCAGGGTGGGCTGATTTATTGTTTGCTAAACAGTATGTTAAGAATCTTACTTCTTCCTGTATTTTTTTAAAATGCAATTTTAGCCTTAAGGTGGAATCTTCCTGTCCTTATTATGCTGTTTATACCTGGGCCTTTAAGCAGGCTAAAGTAAATTTTACAATGGCATGATCTAATTGACACAGTGAAGACATGGGCTGTGCTCAGATACTTTTCTTATCTGGGGAATTTCAAACATTCAATGCTAAGTTGCTCCTGGTCTTTTGAGCTTTAATTGATTAACTCATTAACTCCTGAGTCTTTACTGGCTCTCTAGTTTTAACTGGTTAACATTTTGAGTCCCTTTTAGTGGGCTTTACTGGCCTTATTCTCTTTCCAACTGCTCACATCTATTTTCCTGCTTAAGGATGAAGCCATCCTACCCACTCCCTCTCCTTATTCCTAACCCCTGGGCCTCTTCCTCTTCCTTTGGATTTTTAGCCTCTGGGTCACTGAAATTCTCTCCTATTTCTGACTTAATTCTTAGGATTTCAACCCTTATCTAGTAGGTGATCTTTCCAATATAGTCTTGGCTTCCTCTCTCAGTTATTGTCCTCTAACCAGCCTATGGCTGGGCTCCAGATCCACATTGCAATATGTAGCCACTACCACACGTGGTTATTAAGAGCACTTGAGACATGGCTATTCTGACTGAAGAACTAAAATTTTAATTCTTTAATATTAATTCATTTGCATTTAAAAACTGGTAACTTATTTTGTGTGTTATTTGAAAATGTACTGTCCAGCTCAGCATTTGTACAGCTCAGCAAATGGGTAAAAAAATCTTTATTTCATTGCATTTTAAGTGGTGTAAAGAATATCATAGTATCTGAACTATTCTCTACTTTAAACTTGACATCTGGGGCATGTGAAAGCTTTATATGTTGTAGACTTAAGTATGCTTACTCTCTTTTTAATGTAAAATTAGTCATTCAGGAAATATAGATCTCTTTTCTGCTGAATTGGTAGCAGTGAGTTTGGAGTTCAGGTGAATTCTCAGAAACTTTTTCTTTTCCTAAACACAGGACTTTGCTATGGATGGCTTGGTCAATATAGTTGGTGGATGCTGTGGTACAACCCCAGATCACATCAGGTAATAGTCACTTATAAATATTTAACCCTTGTTATGGGATGAGTTGCATCTCCCCTTTCCACCCAAATTCATATGTTGCACTTCTAACCCCACCACCACCTGGCTCCTTAGAATGTGACCTATAAGACCTTTATTAAAGAGGTAAATTAAGGTAAAGTGAGATCATGTGAATGGACCCCAATCCAGTATGACTGGTGTCCTTGTAAGAAGAGAAGATTGGGACACAGACACACACTGAGGAAGGGACCATGTGAGGACACGGGGATAAATGGCCGTCTGCAGGGCAGAGAGAGGGGCCTCAGGAGAACCAACCCTACTTACACCTTGGCCTCAGACTTCTAGCTTCCAGACTTTGAGAAATAGGTTTCTGCTTTTGAAGCTACTCAGTCTGTGGTATTTCATTATGGTAGTCCTAGCAAACTAAGATACTTATATATTTTGAAAAATTCCAAAAATAAAAGTAGAAAAATAGTAAGTCCCCATGTGCCTATCACATAGTTTCTATAATTCTCATCATTTGTTATTCTTACCTTATGTATTCCCCAACTTTTTTTCTCTTAGAATATTGTAAAGCAAATCCCAGATATCATAATATTCTACCCTGAAATGACCTGATTAATATTTAAATGCTCCAGGAGGGAGTGCTCATATTTCTTGTGGGCAAATACATGCCTCCATTAAACTCCCTCATAGAAGGCAAAGCCAGAAAGACAACAAGCACCTGAGGTCAAGAGAAGTGTCTTCACCTTGCCTGGCAGCCATTGCTTAATCCACGCTGTTGAGTGAGTGTGTGGAGGAAGTGGGTGGGGAACAAGAACATGGCAAAAATACGTGTTCAAGTCCTTACAGTTTTGTGGCTTATAAGAAGATTGAAATTCAGTGGAATAGAAGGTAATTTAGGACTATTTATATTTGCTTTTTCTCTAGAGGGACTGATGATCATATTTTGAATGAGTCATCTCACTGTTCTGAGTCTGTTTTCATGCATATAGTATGTTCAGTGAACTGAATTACCTAATGCTTGACTGCTTTTGTTGACTTCTGTGATACTCTATTAAGAACTTGTATAATTTAAGCATCTTTTAAATAATATCTGAAAGCTGTTGATGGTTTATTACAATTTATCTTTAGATATCTTTGTTTTTAAGTTTCTCTCTCCTTTTCAGAAAGATTTGTTTTAAAAATACCTGTGTGTGTATGTATATTTGCTGCTTTTAAATTGACATCCACCAATTTTGGAGGGCAGTAGAGTGAGCCGTTCATACTGGTCCTGATAAATTTAGTGGAGTAGCCAGATTTTTCCAGGTTGATCAAAGACATAATTCCCTAAAGCTGGTAAGGTTAAAAAACATGAATAATTGAAATTTTAGGAATGATTATTTTGGAGTTTTTGTGATTTATTGCTGTGTACCCTCTTTACTGTGTGCTTTTTATGCTTGGAAAAAACAGACCCAAGGATTTAATTTCCTCTGCTTCTGGCACCTACTCTGCTGTTTGCTCCTCCTCCTCAATGATGAAGGCTTTTTTCCTTTTAAACCACTAAGAAGCAAGGACATATTTCATGTGTGGATTTGACAGAGTAAAGGAGATCTATAGGTTTGGGAAAGGGAGGAGGTTTGCTGTTTGCAATTTCGCAACCCTTTCTGTATCTCTAGTTCACCCCTGAGTGAGAAACCAGTACAGTCAGTGCTTGGCAGATGGGGCCCTGTTAACCTATAACTTAATCTTCTGCATTACTGAGAAAACTGAAAGGCATAACGGTTGCTGCACATTTGGAACTAGGTATATAATTATGTGCATAATTATTTTAAATAGACTTAATTTCATAGCTGGAAATTAGTTTTATTAAATTGATTTTACTCTGAATTAATGGGTATAATGTTTTTTCTTTTAACTCAGGGAAATTGCTGAAGCTGTGAAAAACTGTAAGCCTCGAGTTCCACCTGCTACTGTTTTTGAAGGACATATGTTATTGTCTGGTAAGTCATAAAGACATGGTTTTTATGACTCCAGAAACCATTAGTAGATCAATTTAGTCCATATATTATAAGCTGAAGTACTGGTTGTATCAAGCAACTTATTTATTAGGTCAGAGAAGAGTACATGTTTTTCTTGGTACTTAAATGAATTCTAGTGAAGAATGCTTTGCATTTTAGCTGTTGGAGCAGGAAGACAGTAACTTCCTGGGTGATTTGCCCAGAAAGTGCCCTTAGTTGGAATGAGAACACACATCACCCATCTCTATGGTGCACCCCTTTGGAAACATCCTTTGGCCACAGCCTCACAAATTTCATTGTCAGATTTGAGCCTTTCAGACTGCCAAGGCTCATTGCTTTGTAGTGATGGCAGCATCTTAGAAAATTTTGTTTGCCTCTAAAATGTTATTGTTGTGCTCTTACACTTGCCATGTGTTCAGGACTTCACAGCAAGTTGTGGTATTCATTCTGTTTGGTTCTCAACAGTTTCTGTGAGGTAGGTAACCACCCTTTTTTAGAATGAGTTTTAATGTTCAAATACGGAACATTAGTAAAATAGTTCATCATGCCAACTGTTAGAAAAATAACTTCAAATTTTGTATTTTTCTCATGGTACTTCCCTGATGTATTTTTAGGTTATATTACGTAGCAAAAAAAAAAAGTGCAGATTCTTAGAGAACCTACAAATAGCACACATGGGAAATTGCACACCCTAATAATTTAGAACTTAACATCTCTCTAAATTGAAATATTTTCTTTTTTTTTTTTTTGAGAGGGCATCTTTCATATTTATTGATCAAATGGTTGTTAACAACAATAAAATTCTGTATAGGGGACTCAATGCACAATCATTAATCAACCCCAAGCC